TGTCTTTTGAGGATCAAGTAGCTGTTGCTTTGAGAAGGCTAAGCTCTGGTGAATCTCTAGTGACAGTGATTCGTTCGGGCTGCATCGCTATACTGTCTCACAACTGACATAGTGCTTTGTCGAGGCCATGGAAGAAAGGGGTCTTCATCACCTGCAATGGCCTTCCACCAATGCAGAAATGACGGAGATAAAGTCCAAATTCGAAAAGATTAAAGGACTTTCTAACTGCTGCGGTGTGATAGACACTACACGTGTTATGATGTGTTTTCCTTCGGCTGACCCTGCAAGTAAGGTGTGGCTTGATCATGAGAAGAATCACAGCATGGTCCTTCAGGCAGTTGTGGACCCTGAAATGAGGTCAGGGACATCGTCACCTGTTGGCCAGGTAAAATCGATGACTGGTCGATGTTTAAGAGTTCGAATTTCTATGAACTGTGTGACAAAGGGGAGAGATTGAATGGGGAAAAGTTTGAGCTCTCTAAAGGAACAGAAATAAGGGAATACATAATTGGAGACTTGGGCTATCCTTTGTTACCCTATCTTGTTATACCTTACAAGAGGAAAGAAATTAGCAAGGAATTCAATAAAAGGCATTCGGCAACTCGGCTGGTGGGAAGCAGGGCGTTGGCAAGGCTGAAAGAAATGTGAAGATCATCCAAGGGGTGATGTGGAGACCTGACAAACATAAGTTGCTAAGGATCATCCTGGTTTGCTGCTTGCTTCACAACATAGTTATCGACCCGGAAGATGATGATGCGCAGGATGAAATGCCACTGTCCTATGACCATGATCCGGGTTACCGACAGCGGATTTGCGGTTCTTTTGACATCAATGGTGTCCCCCTGAGAGAGAAGCTTTCTCTCTACTTGTCTGGGAGACTGCCACCCTAATACCTGATTCCTGGTTGGTAGCTTCTTGGCGTAGCAAAGGATTAAAAATTTAAAATAGGATCTTTGGCAGACGATCATTTCATTGGAATTGTTGGTTTTCTTCTTCTTTTTTTTTGATTTAAAACTTGTACAAGTTAACATGATTCTCAAATGTGGATTTTTGAAGATAAAGATCCTCCCTTCTCAACTGTGTATTTCTTTGATTCTCTGCTACTATAAACGACAATGTTGGCTAAAAGAACTCACAATCTATTTATTAACTCGAGAAACAAGTCATCAATTGTGGCTATTATATTTTGTTTGTGTTTCGTGTCATTATTACTATCACTCAAAAACAGAATATTTTATAGGAAAAAACCATAGTCATTTTCTTCCTTTTCCTTTTTTTTTTTTTATAATGTGTGTGAATTTTATTACGTGTTTCTCTTGAAATATCACTCTAACCCTATATATTTCTTTGTCAGACACTGTTCAGATTATATTTTTTGATCTAACACCCTTTGCAGGAAGGCGCGCCCCCTGCACCGCGCTTTACGCCATGTGGTCGAAGGCGCTCTCCCGGGGGCGCGCCTTACCAAATGTGTAAAAAACTCGGGTGTTAGTTTTATAAATATTTTTAAACGGGTGTCAAATACGTCATTAATTTCTATTATAGTGACATTTGTGTAAAAACGTCAGTATTTTGAATTGTACATACACCCTCACACCGCACGTTCCAGGTTGTGAACTGGGTGGGGTTTTAATGAAGTGGGCAGTGTGCGTAGTGGTTGAGTTTAATAGTATTTTAGTGTCACAAGTTTATTTTTTATAATAATAAATTTTTATAATTTTAAAAATTAAAATTTATATATTTTGAAAAAATTATTTTCTTTTAAAATTAATTGTTTAAAAATATAAAAAATATTAAAATAAACTTTTAAGCACAATTAAGGAATTAAATGAATTATTATTCATTAATTTTTATTTTTAACAACAGTTAATTATATTTATTCATTTTTAATAAAATTATTTTGATTTTTGCATTAAAATTACACAAGTATAATCTAATATAGTAAAACTTTAAGGGTAAGTATTTTAAAATATGAATAATTTTATAAAAAATTTATTACTAGAATTTCTTTTACAAAATGATGACGATGATGACAAATATTTTATAATTTTAAAAATTATAAATTTCATATATTTTTGAAAAAATTATTACCTTTTAAAATTAATTGTTTAAAAATATAAAAAATATTAAAATAAACTTTTAATTACAATTGAGAATCAAATGAATTATTATTCATTAATTTTAAATTTTTAACAACAGTTAATAATATTTATTCATTTTTAATAAAATTATTTAAATTTTTGCATTAAAATTACACAATATATATAATATAGTATATAAAAATTTTGAGGGTAAATATTTTAAAATATGAATAATTTTATAAAAGTTTTATAACTAATATTTCTTTTACAAAATGATGATGATGATGATAAATATTTTATAATTTAAAAATTATAAATTTCATATATTTTTAAAAAATTATTGCCTTTTAAAATTAATTATTTAAAAATATAAAAAATATTAAAATAAATTTTTAATTAAAATTGAGGGATCAAATTAATTATTATTTAATATTTTTTCAAAATATATGAAATTTATAATTTTTAAAATTATAAAAAATTTATTATTATAAAAAATAAACTTGTGCCACTAAAATACTAATAAACTCAACCACTATACACACTACCCACTTCATTAACTTGTGACAATACCCTATCCAGTTCACAGCCGTGAGGTGTGGGGGTGTCTGGACAATTCAAAATGCTGACGTTTTTACACAAATGTCACCATAATAGAAATTAATGACGTATTTTTCACCCGTTTAAAAATATTTATAAAACTAATACTCGAGTTTTTTACACATTTGGTAAGGCGTGCCCCTAGGGGCTCTTTCGACCACGTGGCGTAAAGCGCGGTGCAAGGGGCACACCTTCCTGCAAATGGTGTTAAATCGGGAAATATAGTCTTAACGGTGCCTGACAGAGAAATATATAGGGCTAGGTGATATTTTGGGAAATACGTCGTTTTATTAATCAATACAATTTTTTTCTTTTTTAATTTTGTTTAACCGACGATGATATCAGTTTTGATGCTGGTTGTCGTCTTTCGATTATCTTCTTTCTTTATTTTTTTAATTTTTTTAATAAGAATAATTATGTCTTTGTGACATATTAGTTATTTTTATGACACGTTTATCTCTACTTTTGTGGCACATTTTCTCTGCCTTTTGGTAGCTTATTTTTGTTGTTATTTTCGTTTATAATTTTTTAGGGTTGATTTAGGGTGTGTTTGTTTGCCGTAATTGGAATTACGGAATTGATTTTCCCCGAAACCCCGTGTTGGTTTCACGTAATTGGTTTTTCGAAATGTAATTCATTTTCTTAGTAACATAATTTCCTTTGTGTTTTCTTTAAAATGACTTACGGATTCATTTTCCGTAAGTCATTTTCCAAACTTTTTACTTCAAAGAATAAATACTCAAAATAATTTTATTTTATGAATTTAATATTAATAAAATATTTTAATGTCATTTTCATCAAAATATTATTTATTTATTTATTAATATTTATAATAATAATATTATATTTTTAATATTATATAAAATAATCAATTATTATAATAATATAAGATATTATATTTTTATTTTAATAATATATAATAATTTTTTATATTTAACAATGAATAATATTATTTATATATTTAAATAATATTTTAATAAAGATATTTAAAATATACTAATTAATATTTTTAAAATATAATATAACACTATTACTTTAATAAATAATTAATATAATTTATAATATTTTATTTCACTAAAATATACAAAAATTAATATTTTTATTAATAAAATTATAAAATAATATTTAATAATAAATAAATTATTTTAATATTTTAAAATAATAATATTAAGTTTTATGATAAATAATATTATTTATTATATTTAATATTTGTAATAAATAATTTTTAAAAAACTCTTCAACTAGTGGAAAAATATTTAAATAACCATCTTCTAAACATCATAAAACGTTTTCAGATGTTTTTCAGAAAAATGTAATTCATTTTACCAGAAATGTAATTCATTTTTCAGAATTTAAATTCCAGTAATTTATTTTCCAGTTCCAGTAATTCAAATTTCAGTAATTCATTTTCCGGAAAACCAATTATAGTCAAACAAACAGACCCTTAATATCACCACGACTGATCAAGATGAAATTTATTTGTTATCATGTTGATCTTCCCTGCTTTGGACCCTCGAATTGATTTAGATACGCGTTTAGCGTTTGTGGATAATTTTCTCACGTCGCTCGACTATGATTTGCAAATTGTCGGTGATCTTTATGTATCTTCATCCCCTTTTATTGTTCGTTTTCCGATACATTTAAATTTGTTTATATATTTATTTTGTTCGAACTTTTTTATTAGTCTTTTTACCTTTTATTTCTTTTCAATATTTTCATCCCTATTATGATCTATATAACTACTTTTCGTCTCTGTTATAATAAGAAAATATCATTATTATATTTTAAGTTTATGATTACTTGTATTTTTTTATTTTTTTTATAATAAAACTAACGAATTTCTATTAAAAAAAATTTTATAGTCTCCACCTTAAAATCAACAAGCCCCCGTAGAACGAAAGCAACGAACCCACTCTTTGATGAAGTTAACTACAACCAGTAGACGGTCAAGATCAATCACCAATCACCGCAGCACACGTGTACGTCAAGATGAAAGTCATCGCGATGTGTGATAAAGCAGTTGTAGCCTAAAAAATCTGGATAATTATTTTCACGAGGAAAGATCAGGTGCTCCTCACTGATAAATTCAAAATTAACTCCTTTGTTCTGTTCGCCGGCGAATTCATCAAAGAAATAAACGCCGATCGACCGGTTCCTTGGATTTTCTGGTGGGATGGTAAGGATCGAAAACTGAAGCAAATAAAAAGGTTTCTCTTTGGAATTGTTTTTAGGGTTTATTTTTCTTTCTGTTTCTTCAGGTTTATGAAGTTCTTTAGTTTTAGCCAGTTCATGAGATTTTTGGGGGAATTTTATGAATGATAATTTTAACGAAAATTATCAGGGGAAGCTTTGAATTCGTATGATGTTAGCAGATTTTACATGCTTCGATTGAGAATTAGAGAAGAAGAAAAGTGGGAAGTGTGTAATCTACAGTTGAAGTAGTGGGAACTGGAAAGAAATGATATACCTTTTTAAACTTCTTAGGACAATAAAATGGCTGGTTGTTATTTATTTTCATTTTTATTATTGGTTAAGTTTGTTAACTATTTGATTTTGTTTATTTACTTGATGAAATGTGCATGATTTTTATCATACTTTAAGGGTGAACTCAGTAGTTTTTTATAGGAAGCGGTCTTGCTTTTGTTTTAGAATGACTAAGATGCAACTATTTTTGTCACTGTGGAAAAAGATAGTTTTTTTCTTTTTAGGTTACCCAATTTTTTGTTGGTTAATGTATCACTGAACTGTGAATTTACAAACAAGAAACTTCTAAGTGATGTTTTAGCAGACTTTTCAGAGTAAAAGTTTTTGGATGGCAAAGGGTGCTGCGCATGTGTCTGACGGAGATGCAGCATTTGATAATACTTCTAGGATCGAACCCAAGCGTTCGCATAATTGGTTTGTAGATGCTGAGCCACAGCTGTTCCCCAACAAGAAGCAAGCTAGACAGGCTGAAAACAACAAATCGAATTCTGGAATTTCTAATTCAAATGTGCTCCCTTGGGAAAATGTTTCCAGTTTTCAGTCTGTTCCTAGCCAATTTATGGACCGGTTGTTTGGTTCCGAATCTGAAAGGTCTGTCAATTTCAGTGACAGGAACATATCTCCCATAGAAGCAGATGACATGAGAAGAAAAGGCATTGAAGATCATTTCGGTGAAGATGCATCTGTTGGTTTGTCGATATCTCCTTCCATTGAGGATCCTGAATCATGCTTTAATAATTGTGAAACTAGAAAAGTTAAGGTCAATCAAGTTAAGGACTCCGATAACTGTATGCATGATCCAAAGGAACACAGTTTTAGTAGGGAAAATAACAGTGACATGTCTACAATTGAGTTGTATAACCCTGAAAATGAAAGTAGTTTCATCTCAATGGGACATGGTTATGATAGGCAGTGTGATAGTGTTGCAGCAGTGAGTCATACCTATAACGGTGATGATTTGCGTATCACTACTGCTACTCCTGACTACGACAAGGATAATGGAATTCCATTATCGATGGCAAACATTTATGTTAAAGAGGGTGCCAATATTCTTTCTTTTGGTGGCTTTCATGAAGAGCATGAGATTATCCCAGTGAGCAGGACGCTCGGTCGCTTTGATACATCACACTGTCGATCTTCCAATCCAACATTGGAAGACACTTCTAGAAATCAGCTGGGCATATCAATCTCTGGTTCGGTTGCAAGTGCAGCGCAGACTGCTAAACTAAGACCTGAATCTGTTTCAAGGACTAAACCAGAGTTCAAACCATCAAAGAAAGAAGCTCCAAACAGTTTCCCTTCAAATGTCAGAAGTTTGTTATCGACTGGTATGCTTGATGGTGTATCTGTGAAGTACGTTTCCTTGTCGCGGGAGGTAACTGACTAGTCATTTTCTTCTCTTTTGCTTCTGTTGCGTTTGCTTTTTGCCTAATGGTTTTATCCCTGTATGACTGTATGTAATAAGGAGCTTCGTGGAGTTATAAAAGGTTCTGGCTATCTTTGTGGGTGTCAATCATGTAACTTATCTAAGGTAAGCCATACTGTAGTTTCTAGACTTGTTAAGTTTTTTGGTTTCTCATCAACGAGCTATGTATGATTGTGCATCAGGTGCTGAATGCATACGAGTTTGAGCGCCATGCTGGTTGCAAAACAAAGCATCCGAACAATCACATTTATTTTGACAATGGGAAGACTATCTATCAGATAGTACAAGAATTGAGGAGCACACCGGAGAGTTTGTTGTTCGATACAATTCAAACTGTGTTTGGTGCACCAATTAATCAGAAGTCCTTTCGCATTTGGAAAGGTAAATTAGATTTGGTTTAGCTTCAAAGCTGCCTCTTTGCTCTCTATTACCTTAGATCATGTGACTGTATGAGCATGAAACATTAGATCATGTGACTGTATGAGCATGAAACATTGAACAACCTACATTATTGCTGCCTTGGAGCCAGTTAACTCGTTATCTTCCCATCTTTCCAGAATCATTTCAAGCAGTGACTCATGAGCTTCAGCGCATTTATGGGAAAGAAGAACTAAACCTATAGGATGATATTTTCCAAATTGTATGATAAAGCACAATCTCCCAGGTGAACTATGTGCATAGGAAAATAAATTAAATTAAGACTTTTGTTTAGGTTTTGTATATAGGGTGTTGTCGGCTTTTCTACCAAATTTAGGGTAACTAAGGGTGTGTTTGTTTGCCGTAAAACCAATTACGGAATTGGTTTTCCACGAAATCTCGTGTTTATTTCATGTAATTCGTTTTTCGGAAAATGTTTTCCGTGTTTGTTTCACGTAATTCGTTTTCCGGAAAATGTTTTCCTGTGTTTGTTTTACGTAATTCGTTTTTCGGAAAATGTTTTCCGTATTTGTTTCACGTAATTCGTTTTTCGGAATGTAATTCATTTTCCTAGTAATAGAATTTCCTTTTTGTTTTTTATAAAATGACTTACGGATTCATTTTACTCAAAATAATTTTATTTTATGAATTTAATATTAATAAAATATTTTAATATCATTTTCATCAAAATATTATTTATTAAAATATTTAAAATATATTTTTTAATATTTATAATAATATAATATTATATTTTTAATATTATATAAAATAATCAATTATATTATAATAATATAAGATATTATATTTTTATTTTAATAATATATAATAATTTTTTATATATTTAATAATGAATAATATTATTTATATATTTAAATAATATTTTAGTAAAGATTTTAAATATACTAATTAATATTTTTAAATATAACACTATTACTTTAATAAATAATTAATATAATTTATAATATTTTATTTCACTAAAATATACCAATATTAATATTTTTATTAATACAATTATAAAAATAATATTTAATAATAAATAAATTATTTTAATATTTTAAAATAATATATTAAGTTTTTACGATAAATAATATTATTTATTATATTAATATTTGTAATAAATAATTTTTAAAACTATTCAATTAGTGGAAAAAATGTTTAATTAACATCTTTCAAACATCATAAAACGTTTTTCAGATGTTTTCTAGAAATGTAATTTATTTTCCAAAAATGTAATTCATTTTTCAAAAATGTAATTCATTTTCCAGAACTCAAATTCCAGTAATTCAAATTTCAGTAATTCATTTTCTGAAAAATCAATTACAACCAAATAAACAGACCCTAAATGTAAGAGAACAATGTAAAGAAAGATGTAGTTGTGACTTGTGAATCCTGTTTTTCGTTAGGCCTAATTTATAACGCCTTACTTGCATGACTCCTTGCTTCCTACAATTCGTCATTTGTAACTAAATGGGTATTAGAGAAATCACAGGTAAGGCTGTTGCATCAACAAAATGAAATAGTCTTGCAAGCAGGCAGAACCCTGGCTTCCGATATGAAGGAGCCAAGACAAGGGGAGAAAAAAACAAGGTATGTTCGCCCCGTTACACAAAGGATCCAAGTATGAAAACATTACGTTCACACCCTAAAATAAAGTTACAAAAAATGACAATAAGAACATGCACTCATCATCCAGTCAATACACAATTAGTTTTCTCTTCTCTTTTTTCCTCCGTTTTTCTTTATCAAAGTTTAACATCCAATACGTGCCACACCGGATTTGAACCAAGTTCGATCCCCTTAGGTTGAACCACAGCAAGCTGATCCTTGTGCAGCTTGACCAGCCCCAGCTGCCTGGTCAGGTTTATTGATCTTGATCGTTGAAGGCTACAACGATAGAAAAGTTCTCAATAATATTGCAAAATGGCAATGGTTTCTGGTTATCAGAGCCTAATTTTATTTTCAAAAAGTTATATGATTCTTATTCTAGATAAGGCAGGCTATGTGAATTACCTCAGCCTTTGAGTTAGTATCCTCGAGTCTATGCTTTATGCCCCTGGCTATTGAAAAGAAAACCTCCTCCACGTTCATATTCGTCTTTGCACTCTGCATGACGGTTTGTTTCAGTATGTAGTATCTCTATTTCAACTAGGAAGTAGCAACCACAAGCAGCAGGCATGACTTACTGTTTCAAAAAATTTGATTCCGTATCAGCAAGCGCTTGTCCCCTGGAGGTCGGCACGGCCTTTAAAAGAAAAAAAATGTTTAGAAAATAGATGCATTCGTCGACAAAACACAAATGAATAGATGGGGAGGGAGGAAGACTTTGCCAGTATCGTAAAATTTAACAGATGATTCCCCAATTCCGAAACCAAACTTCATTCAGATGAACACTGAGCAAAAAATGCACAGATCCAACAACACACTTAGGCTTAGCAGGGTTAGATAAGATGCTAAACGTCTGATAACATTCAAAGCAATCCGCAAGATGATAAAACCATAGACATCATCTACTAAAATATTACGGAGAGAAGTTCACCCTTTTGCTTTCATCCATATCTGCCTCGTTCCCGACCAATATCTTGTTAACATTATCTGATGCATGTTGTTCGATGTTGCGAAACCAATTCCTAATATCTGCGCGGAGAAAGATCCTTTCTATAAGAGATTTAACATAGAAACCAAGTACTATAACAACTAAAAGAACAAGCAAAGCCTTAAATCTGTATAACTGGTTAATAAAAGACGCTTAACAAATGTAGCAACGGTAAGAAGATTAAGTGAAAATTTAAGGTCATACAATTAGTTGGAGGAAAAAAAAGAGAGAACAAGGGATTTACTGTTGAAGGAGGATTCATCAGTGACATCATAGACTAGCAAGATGCCCATGGCTCTACGATAGTAAACTGTTCATAGGAAGGAAAAAAGCATCAAAGGAAACCGTTTGGAGAAAATGCAAATGTGGAATATATATCAGTGTTTGACAAATAGATTAAAGAAATTTAGGTTACTAAAATTTTAGTTAATAAGAAAATCATTCTATAGGACAATTCTAACAATTTGAAAAACCTGAGAGATATGCCCAGACCAGCATACGACACAACCATGAAAATTCTCCAACATCAGACAAGAATGTTAGGATTCTTGGTTGTAGACTTTTAACCATTTCATACCTTAAAGATGCCTAGTAGTACCAAATAGCCATACTTATTAGTCGACATAGTAGCCATAAAGTGACAGCTAACCGATGAACAGATATAAGAAGTTAAAGAATAACTTCAGCAATTAATAGCATGCAATGGAGGTTCATAACCAACAGCAGTCATTGGCTATTGATGGAATAGTTAAAAGGAATTGCTGTCATAAGGCCTTGCGTAACCCTTGCATATTATCACACTGATTTCCAGTCTAATAGGCCGGTTCTTTTCCTGTAGCATGTTTAGTTCTAGAACTTTGGTTGAACATGCATTTAGGCTTCTTAAACGTGTAAGTTCTTGCTCACACATTCAGCTATTGGATTTGTGCATTTCTTTCTCCCGATTTGGAAAAGATAGAAAATTCAGATAAATTGATCTGAGACTGGAAACCTTCAAGGTAGATGATGGCAATGCCATGATTCAGCCATATCGTTTTCTCTCATGGATGAAACAAGTAACATCAAAATTTTGTCCCTTAAAGATTGAAATTAAATAATTAAGCTAGCGAAAACACATACCAGTTGTGATTGTCCGAAACCGCTCCTGCCCAGCTGTATCCCAAATTTGAAGCTTAATTTGTTTACCATCAAGCTCAATGGTTCTTATCTTAAAATCAATAGTGCGTGTGTGATAGTCACATTGTGAAAGTCAATAAATTTTCATCAAGACAAAATAATCAAGACAAAAGGGTTCCATTTGAAATAACGCAACCAATGGTGGTGATAAAGCTGGTTGTAAAGGAACCATCTGAGAATCGTAAAAGTAGGCAACTCTTACCGACACCTAGAAATGTGAATAAACAGAAAATGTTAGTCCTTCTAGCAAGCGTTGAATGCATAATAATCTAAGTTATGAAAGCATCTAAATTTTAAAAGAAGAAAGATGGGACATTTCATGAAGAAGAATTTCATTTCGGGGCCTCTAGAAAGCAAATTATTTTTAAAAAAAAAAATGAAATCAACAAACCATTAACTGCAAACCCCCATGATTTATCGCAATTACAGCACATAGCTCCTACCTGATCGTATATAGAGAAACCGACAGTCAACTAACCAATAGCAGCCAAAGTTTGCTTCTTCGACGCTCTTTAACTCTCAAAATTTAAAACTTATCCCAAATCTCATCGAAAGAATTCGGAGACACGAAACTGGGAGACACTGAATAGATTATAATATGAACTAAATCTAGTTGCACGCCAAATTATTTCCAGAAAATGCAAGGCAAATAATAAATCTAAGAGGGTGAAGAAAGATTGGAGAACTCGAAGATCAGTTTGGTCATAAGGAAAACAAGAGATAAAATGAAAGTACACAAAAGAGCATAGTTTTAGAGATCAACGAACCACTGTCGCCGATCAATAGAAGCTTTATGAGGTAATCTTAATCAGCTCTAGCTCTTGCTGGTGGAGCAGACATCGAAAAACTGCAAACAGAAAAGACGAATCAGAATCAAAAGTTCACATTTCTATACTCGAATCCACATAATTGAAAAAAGAAAAGTACCAGATTGGGGTATCGAAAAAGAGATTTTTCAGGGAGAAAAAAAAAGGAGAGATTCCAAAAAAAGTCAAATCTTAGAGATGATGAAATTCAAGTTCTAGTTAACAACAAATTTAAAAACAAAATTATTACCCGCAAAATAGATGCTCTTCGAGGAAGGTGGGTTGCTAAAATGTGCAGTGTCCGCTTTCACTGTTTCCTTTTTTTACGACTTTCTTTTATTTTTCTTGGATGCGCCGATCACCCTCTCCGCATGCTAGCAAATACACTGATAACAACGCCGAGAGAAATAGTGTGGAAGACTTTAGTTTTGATGACTTCCTTTATAAGGGCGTGAAACGAATAAAAGAAAGATTCCTGACAAACCATCTGACAAATGTTCTGGCAATGTTCTGATAAATACCCAACACGCTGGGCATTCGAGGCCATCCGAAAGCATCCGAGGTCATCTGAGAGCATCCGAGGCCATCCGACCGAGGTCATCCGAACGAGTAGGTCGCCATGCACTCCGGGCGACCTACCCTCGCTCGGTTGCCCGGATTCCCTCGCATAGCTCGCTCGGTTGCCCTCAGATGCCCTCGCATAGCTCGTTCGGATCGGGCCTCGG